CTCTGTTGTCACCATCTGGTTGGCAAACACTCCTGTGGTGATCATTTCTGGATATCAAGCCCTAAAGGATACTATGATTGGTCTTGGTGAAGAATTCAGCGGCAGGGCCATCTATCCTCTGTTGATGAAGTCCACTTATGGATATGGTGAGTTCGCTTGATGCCTTATGTTTTACACAGTTTATTTGAACAGATATTTATCTGAAGACCAAATTGCTGTTAATGTTGTCTCTGTGTGCAGGTGTTCTGTCCACCAGTGGACACCGATGGAAGGAGATGCGCAGGTTCACTCTTATGACACTGAAGAATTTCGGAATGGGCCGCAGGAGCATCGAGGAACGAGTCAGGGAGGAGGCTGAGAATCTTGTGGAAATGTTTAAAAAATGTGAAGGTAAAATCACTTTTATATGATCTTTTATTTAGATTATAAGATGAAACAAACTGCAGACATAAACCACAAAAAGATCTGAAAATCAAACATACAGTGGTTGCATTGTTTAGAAAAAATGTGTTGAATAAGTTCTTGCAACTTGTACAATAAGTTCATGGAGCAAATGTGCCGTGTGTAGATTTAATATATTGTACAGCACATTCAACTAGGTGAATGACTAATTAGAATAAATCCTAACCTAAGCCACATCTCATGTTCCAGAACATGGTGTGAGTTTTTACAACACTAAATTTAAGAAACTTGAGCTCTTTGCTGTACTTTTCTCCTCAAAGGCTCTGCATTCAGCCCTGTGGACATGCTGTTTAATGCTGTAAACAATGTGATCTGCAGCATTGTCTTTGGGCATAGGTTTGAACTTGAGGATCCACAGTTTAAGTCTCTCCTTCGAACTGTGAATACTTACTTCACTATTCTCAGTAGCCCTCTTGGACAGGTATTGTACTCTAAGATTTTTTTTAAAATATATATATATATTTTTTCATACATTACCGTTTATACATAAGTCGCTTATGTGTAGCAAGGCTGCATTTATTTGATTAAAAATACAGCAAAAACAGTAATATTTTTATTATGTCTATTTTAATATATTTTAAAATGTAAATAATTCCTGTGATGGCAAAGCTGAATTTTCATCAGTCATTACTCTAGTCTTCAGTGTCAATAATATGCTGATTTGATGCATTTCTTATTATCAGTGTTGAAAACAGGTGTGCTGCTTAATGTTAGTGTGGAAACCATTTTTTTTTCATGATCCGTTAGTGAATAGAAATTTCAAAAGAACAGTGTTTATTTGAAATATAAATCTTTTGTAACATTATAAATGTCTTTACTCTCACATTTTATCAGTTTAATGCAACCTTGCTAAATAAAAGTATTAATTTAAAAAAAAAAAAAAGAAGACTTACATTGATGTTCTTTATTTTCTTCTTAGATCTATAATGTATTCCCTAGGTTAGTCAGTCTCTTTCCCGGTAAACACCATCAGCTGTTTAAAGACCTAGAAGAGGCCAGAGAGTATTGCAAGCGTGAGGCACAGGCTCGGATGAATACTTTGGATCCCTCATGCCCACAGGACTTCATTGAGGCCTTTGTGTTAAAAATGAAAGAGGTAAATAATTCAGTTTAAAACAGTTCTTATAAAGCCACGGTCCTCATTACATTTACTTGCACCCTCTGGTGGTGAAACTATGACATGATGTCAGTTAAAACAATTCCAGAAAACTTCCTTAATTTACAAGTTTTAGAATTGGTACATCCCAACAGCCAGTTTTTATATGCATAATATTCATTTTCATATTCATCTTCATTGTCTTTTGCAGGAGAAAGACAATCCTGAAACAGAATATCATTTTGGCAACTTGGTTTCTATAGTATGGAACATGTTTAGTGCCGGCACAGAAACCACTTCATCCACCATCAGATACGCTTTGCTTCTGATGATGAAGCACCCAGACGTTCAAGGTGAGATCAAACAAATGTCTTCTCTTTCCAAGCATCAAGCAGAATCCCGAGTGTTTTTTTCTTTCACTTGTACAGAGCGTGTTCAGCAGGAAATTGATGAGGTTGTAGGACAGGACCGCTGGCCCTCAGTAGAGGACAGACAGAACCTGCCGTATACAGATGCTGTAATCCACGAGATTCAACGGTATATGGATCTCGCCCCCATCGCTATCCCACACAAGATGATGTGCGACACTGAATACAATGGTTATATCATTCCTAAGGTATCCTTCTTATGTATTTACATTATCTTTATTTAACTATTAATTATTATTTGTCTATTTCTAACATAAACTTATTTTATAGGGGGTCATGGTTTTCCCTCTGCTATCCTCTGTGCTTATAGACCCGAAACTGTGGAAGAACCCAAATTTCTTTGATCCAGAGAACTTCCTGGATGCAGTTGGCCGATTTCAGAAAAATGATGCATTTGTTGTATTTGGCATGGGTGAGTTTAGAACATAAAAATAAAAACAGGGAGGCTTGTTTCCACCATGGAATTATGTTTCTCACCGTTTTAATCATACTGGGGAAAAAATAACCATGTTAAATCACTGATTAATTTAAAGGGAAAATCATAGCCAATAAAATGGCTGATACATGGAGAAAAGTTTCTTCAAAAGATTTTAAAACTGACTTCTGTCTGCTCTCGTCAGGCAAGCGTGCGTGTCTTGGTGAGGCTCTGGCTCGCATAGAACTCTTCATCTTCTTCACTTCCCTCCTTCAGCATTTCACCTTCAAAGCCACAGTGCCACCAGAGGAGCTCGATACAACACCTAAAAATTGCAGTTTTGGCCGCATTCCCCACACATACGAGTGCTATGCCATTCCCAGGAAATAGAGGAACATGCCCACAAAACTAACAAAGAAAACTTCCAATATATTCTCATTTCAGTTTGATGCTTTAATGGAAATAAATATGTCCAAAATTATATTATTGCACAAGTTTTTTTTGTTGTTGTTTTTTTTTGGCAAATACAGCATTGATATTTAGCATAAATGTTCCTGTCCTCGAGTCTAGCCGGTTAACCCACTTTTTAGCAGTGCACATGGATCTGATACCCAATATCAGGTGTCTTAACGTGGAAGCTTATCAAGTCTGGAATGTTTTGAAAGACATTAACTACTATTTTGAAAGTCAAACAACATTACTGGCACTTTTAACAACATTTTAACATTTAAGTCAGCACAGTGCTTTCATTTTTTCACACTTAGGTGCCATTCATACAGGATGCATATTTGTGATTAAAAACACAAGATGCAGGGTAGTGCAATGAGAAAAAAAAGCCCACATGGTCTAGAGATGCACATTAAAAGAAGTTTAGACCTTGCATTATTTTTTTAATTTCACTGCCTTGCATCTCATGTTTTAAACATGAAAACGATTCTGTGTGAACGGTACCTTATTCTGTAATATGTAGATGATTACTGGACAAAACATGAGAGTGAGAGATAAATAACTATGCATGTTTAACAACAGTGGCTTCTTCAGAACTAGACAAATCTTGCCACATCACAAAAAAGGCATCCTACCAATATTTTTGACAGATTCATGCATGACCACAGACTCTTAGCACCAGGTTGATATCATTAAGCACTAAAAATGTGATACAAGAATTCTTCAGGAGACTAAGGCAACTCTACAACAGTCTATATCTGTGCAGTTCTCCCTACATCCAACAGGTGGCTTTAGATGTCAATGGAGCCGTGGAATAACCTGGATGTGAAAGCAACAGAACAAACACCTCCACTTGATGGATACAATTTAGATACGAGTCGACAATATATTGTATAAATCACAGTGAAAGCTCAGCTACAATAGAGATTATTACTGCACTCTTCCATCCATGTTGACAGAAAAATAATGTCCAGGTGAAGTAACAAAAAAAAGAAGGCATACAGTGTAAGAATTGATCTCAGTCCGTGTGAGGGCATACTCCGATTTAAACCTTGTTTTGGAAACAAACAGTTTCCATGTTTAATAGTGTTGTTACTGTTGCCTATTAACTGAAATACCTAGTAATCCTCTTTAAACTCTATTGTAGACATACAGTTCACAGTTGGGTTCTGTCATGGCACAAAATGAAAGGGGATTAGGCCATTGAGTGGAATGCAGAAGCATAAAAAAGGAATTAGATTTCCTGCTGTTCAAGAGATCGCCTGGAGCACGCCATCCTGGTTGAGCGGGTTACATAAGAGCCATATAAAACCTTCATATTAGACATTTAACACCTCCAGGGGCACCATATCAAATAAGGGTGAGGATGTGACATAATGTCTAGTACTGAACATAAGTCTGGTACTGATTTGTTGTTTATGGACAAAAACAAAGTCCATTATTGGTCCCTATACTGTATGTATATACAGTCTCCCCAAAAAGTGTTTGGGCTCTTAAACTGCACAAAATAAAATGTGGCAAATAACAATATCAAACTAAGTGGCATCTGCAATTATGATATACTACCATTCAAAAATGTTTTCAAAGTCTCTTATGCTCACCAAGGCTGCATTTTTTTATTCAAAAATACAGTAAAAGCAATACATTTGTAAAAGATTATAACAATTAAAATAACTCTTTCATATTTGAATATACAGTGGGTACGGAAAGTATTCAGACCCCCTTAAAATACTGAGCAAAGGGTCTGAATACTTAGGACCATGTGATATTTCAGTTTTTCTTTTTTAATAAATCTGCAAAAATGTCAACGATTCTGTGTTTTTCTGTCAATATGGGGTGCTGTGTGTACATTAATGAGGACAAAAAATTAACTTAAATGATTTTAGCAAATGGCTGCAATATAACAAAGAGTGAAAAATTTAAGGGGGTCTGAATACTTTCCGTACCCACTGTATTTTAAAATGCAATTTATTCCTGTGATGGTAAAGCTGAATTTTCAGCAGCCATTACGCCAGTCTTCAGTTACACATGATCCATCAGAAATCATTCTAATATGCTGATTTGGTGCCTACTTCTTATAGAAAGTTCAAGAGAATGGCATTTATTTGAAATAGAAATCTTTTGTAACAATGTAAAAGTCTTTCATGTCACTTTAGTTTAATTTAATGCATTCTTGCTTAATAAAAGTATTAATTTCTAACTAATCTTATTGACCCCAGATTCTTGAATGGTAGTGGATATGTGGTTTAAGGGTGCAAATACTTTTTGGGGCTATTTGGTGATTTTGCAGGCTAGGTGATGTTTGTGTGTCCTACCTGTGAACTCTGAACAGACAATCCTCATGCAATCAAAAATATAAATGACTTTGTGGTAAAGTCTTTGAGTTGATCCACAATGTTGGCACATAACAGAATTCATCTAGTGTCCAAAATGAGGTATAGTGGTAAATACCAAACAAGAAAAACACAAATAAAATGGGTTGTCAGGCATAATGTGAGTAACGTGATGTAGTAATATGCTTTTGACAGTTCAAAAACAATGAGACCTCATATTCCAAGACACTCCATGATATCCAGCTTTGTTTGTCCAATCAATGGGCAGCACAGTCCACATGATTCAACAGTAGCTCTCAGAAAACATCACTGCTCCCTCTCCGGCACACTGGGGTAACGCTGGCACATCCAACCCGTTCAGAACCTGCTTTCGGGCAGAGATGTAGCAGTATGCCTTGCCTCTCTTTGCTCTGGGATGGTAGTGATGTTGAATAGCTGGTAGGGTGGCTGTGGGTGTTGGGTCCGAGGACAGTTGGCTGCCACTGTCCAGAGGGCAGTCTGGAGAGCAGGCTAGGTCGTGGTGACACCGAGGTCCTGCACCTCCCTGCTGTGCGTTGCTACCTGAATTACGTTGGTCCTCCAAAATGCTTATTCCCAGTTTCCATCGCCGCCATTTCTTTTTGATTTCTGACTGTACCTGGAATCAGAGACAGTACATATATCAAGGGTTATTATAATTAAACTAAAAAAACTGAAATCATAAAAACACATTTAATACTTAAAAAAACAATAAGTGTAATACAATATTAAAATATTAAAACATTTTTTAATTCTCAATAGTTTGTTGAAGTACAAAAATAACTAAAAATAAAAACCAAAAATGTAATAAAATCTATATAGACACATAAAAAATAATAAAATAAAAATGACAAAAAACAAATTTACTAAAACTTTAACTAAAATGTAAATGAAAATAGGAAATATAACTAATCTAATTCAAAATATTAACAAAAACTATAATAATATATCATATACAGTATGTGTGTGTGTGTACACTGCTGTTCAAAAGTTTAGGATCAGTAAAATTTTTTGTGTTTTTTTAAATAAGTTTCTTATGCTCATCAAGGCTGCATTTATATGATCAAAAATACAGAAAAAACGTATTCATGTGAAATACTATTGCAATTTAAAATAATGGTTTTCTACTTTAAAATATAATTTATTTATGTGATGCAAAGATACGTTTTCATCAGCCAGCATTTATTCAAAATAGAAATCTTTTCTAACAATAAAAGACTTTACTATCACTTAAATTATCAATTTAACATCCTTGCTGAATAAAAGTAATAATTTCTTTCAAAAACAACATTTCAAAACATTTCTGACCCCAAACTTTTGAACGATACTGTATATTGTTTATACATTGTATAAGATTTTGACTGTAAATAAATGCTGTTCTTTTGTGTGTGTGTGTGTGTGTGTGTAATTAAAAATAATTTATATTTATATAATTAATATAATAAAAAAAATACAAATATATACAATAGCCTCTTTATTGACAAAGCCTCTTACCTCTTTATTGACAAAGCAGTATAATATGGCCACCAGAAAACCCTGTGGGGTAACAGGAACTAATGCGTCAAAACGAGTTCATTGTAAGCACATTCACTGCATTTAAAATGTGCATGGTAAACGAAAAAGTAAGTACACTGAATGAACTAAGCCATGTTGTGACATGGGCTGTCTCTCTTGATTCCCTTAGTTGTACCTGAAAAGAATTGAAGAAGAGTTCGAAGAACAGGTTGACATTGCGAAGCACGCCCTCAGTCTGTTCCTCTGTCATCACAGCAAACACCACCTCATGAATCCCTAACAGGGGGATGAGGGTCAGCGTGGACTTGGCTAACCTGAGGGACCAAGGATATTAAAGACTAAAGATTATTCAAAACACAATCCAGCCCATCTCACTTCAAAACATCATCAGCTTTTCTTTAAATCCATGTTTAATGTCAGGTGAAATTCACAGTTCATTTCTCTTTTTCACATTAATTCATTCTCAAAAAAACAAATCTACATCTTTTAGGGTTTTTAAAAGTTTGAAGGGAGATTTCACAGGCAGATTAAAGGGGTCATATTATGCTTTTTTAAAGATCATTATTTTGTGTATGCATTGCTGTTCTGTTGTAAGTAATCTTAAAGATTCCTAAATGCATCTACTTTCGGAAGGCCAAATAAAGTGCTTTTGCTTTCGCCAAAGCACACAGCGAAACACACAGCGTCTCCCTGACATGGCTGCATCAACACTAACTGCGGTTACTGAAACCACGCCTTCTTTCTTTGCGTGCACATTTGGGCGGCATTATGCAAATATTTCCACATAGTGAGGTAGATATGTGGGGGCGTGTTAGAACGAGCCATTTTAGGGGGGCGTGGCAGAGTCTTAACTTTGATAAAGTATATCTCTTTGGTTTTGAGACTTTAGTCTTTGCAACTTCAGGGATCTTATCTATGCACAATCAGCTTGTAACACTCCAAAGAGAAAGGAAAACTTGAAATCGCATTATATGACCCCTTTAAATGACAACAGTGAGGCACTGTGGTTAAATCAAGAATCTAACTGGCCTCAATCACTGTTAATCCACTGTTATCCAGTCAATCCACCTTTTATTCTGCTATGCATAAGCAGGATATAAGCTTGAAGGCTAGAAATATAGTCTCTGGTGGGGAAAAAATGCTCCTTAAAATGAATGCTACCCTCAAGGCTGACATTTGAATAAGAGGATGAAATATTTTCTTTAAAATGGTTGAAACATCAAAAGTTTGCTAAGGCACTTTATGTGACACAATTCCAGTTTACGTAACGCTGATGAAATAAGAAATAGACATTTTGCAGGTACAAGGAAACACCAATAGATGGAGTAAATCTGAAAAAATAAACAGACTAACAGATGCTGATGAAAATAATATACATTTTTTTGTTGAAAATGAAACAAAAATGAAGTCAAATTCTTACCTAAATTTATAATCTGTATACCTCATCTGATGTGCTTTTAATTTGGAGATGAGGATCTGAATTATCCTTATAAATATGAAAAAGTTCACCTGCAAAATATGGTGATAATTCTTTTTAAATATAAATAGTTAGACATAGAAAGTTCTTCTCAAGACTTCTCATCCTGTGCAATGAAGGAAAATGCATAAATTATTCCAATGTTCAAACCTGGCCACAATCATTTCAGAGTGCAGTAAAACAGTTCCTCAACACAGTCCTCAAGAATGCTCCAGACTAATGAGTCATCCATGTATAATACATGAGCGAATGTATATTTAACTAGTTATTCATATGCTGCGTTCCAAACGACTCTCCCATCTCCCAATCAAAAATAACCCCTGGAACAAAGTCGGCCCAGATCCACATTGACGTTCCATTGGTTGCTTTCAAGTGGAGGTGGGAGAATTATCTGTAATTATCTTTATCTGTCAGCATATGTGAGTGGCTATTAATACAATCAAAGAACAAATTAAAATTTAAGACAAATTGAGGTAAAAACTCACTAAAATCGCCAAAAGGATTGGCGTTCGGATGATCCACCAATATGCCATATTTTCGTTGATCTCCCAGCACCTTGAGAAATATGTAGGCATTTGTAATACTTAACCAAAGCTGCTCTTAATCTTTAACCAAATGAAAGAAAGCTGTTGCATCAAGACTTTTGGCACATCTTACCTGGTGTTCTCATACAGGTAACGAACAACTATCCAAGGCACCACAAAGAGCACAGGTGTTCCTGTTAGAAAAAAAATGAGATTAAATAAAAAACAGAACACCAAGACACCTGCATCTTCATTAGCATTTAATTTTTACTTTCTTAAAAAAAAAAATAGCATGTATGAATGTGAAAATGACATTAATTGTGGTAATTGTTCATTATATGCATGAAAATATCTGTATTTAATTAAATAATTTATAATAATTTAAATATTGTATGTGCTAATAGTTCAAATTATAATAATATAATATTTTAAATATTTTACTTACTTTAAATGTTTTAATATTTTTAAATATCTTAAAATATTTTAGTTTTACTCTCTCATTTTCATGACAATAATTCCACAAAAAAAAGAGTTTGCAAATTACACACCCCAGCCGATGAAGAGGTATACACAGAAGTAACTGTTCTCTGAGAAGACCATCAGCACCAGCAGGTTGTGAAGATATAGACCTTCTACCAGTAGCCAACTGTAGTTTGCCCCAACACAATACTGCATCAGGACCTGAGCCACACGGCAGCCTGGCATCACCTGTGGGATTTTAAATGGGGGTTCACTGTACCAATCCATGAAGTTTAATAGTTTTGTAGCGGGGGCATTTTCCCAGAGGAGGCAAAATTGGAAATTAATTCACAGTACAAAGATAAAAAAACACAAATATTATGAAATATGACATTTAAAAAAAAAAGTGTATAAATCACTTGTTTTTCTAAAATGACACTATTGTTATTTTTAACAGATCCCCTAAAGTGTGCGGTGGGGGGTAACTGAGAATGAATGGGGAAAAGTCACATAAGGCGGCAATGCCTCCATTGCACTTTGACTGGCCTATCACTCTGCTAATGCGATAAATTCTACCTCGTTTTCATACACATTCTGCAATTGGTCTGAATGAATAAATAATGGTATTAATGGGAAGACTAATTAAAAACTATGTATGTACAACTGTCACACTGTTACATATCTCACTTTATGTCAAAATCAAAGCTGAAAGGATTTGAAAACATGATCAGTGCACTGTTTACCAAGCTTTGATGACTGATGATAAGAAAATTTAAAATAACAGCTGAACATCAGTTCACAAATAAAATATACATGAAATCTGAAATTTCTTACAGCATTCTTATAGTTTCTATTTTGGAATTAATAATGCTTACAAAACACTAAATTGAGGAGATTTATAGTTGGTTATAATAAAACATACTTAATGCAAAAATTACATTGTTAATGCAAAAATACAAAATATAATTTATTTAAACTGCTAAATTTGTACAAAATTAAGTGTAACTGGAATATGAATTTACATTTGATTAAAAAACCCTGAGGACTTTGTCTCCTCATTTCAGAACACCACTGGACGCCACTGTTTTTAGTGCAGTTTTTTGGTGTGTAAGAAAACACTCAAGTGAGTGTGTGTAGAGTCACTGTATTTCTGCTTACCTGGTCCCTCAGAACAATCGAAACATCTTTGTTGTCCCTGAACTCAGGAGCATCTTTCATGAGAAGCGCGTCTCTCGTGAGGATGGACACAGCTCGCAGGATGAAAGAGGCAAACAGATTGGTGTGGATGTAATTACGTGTGCAACGGAGCTTCCTGCAATATTACAAAGACCTCATTGAAACGTTCATTTTATTCATGAACAGCTGAAACTGCAATTCTCCTGCTGATAGCAACAGCTAAGCTAATGACCTCATGTTGAAATGTTAAGCACAAAATGACTATATACCCTTAGGGGATTCACATATTCATTCCTACATGTTGCATAATACTTAGGGCTGCGCATTTAATGGAGATAAAATCTTAATTATGATATAGACTTGTGTGATCATCGAACCTTCAGGTTCAATAAATTAATTAGGCTAGGTATAATATGATATAATATGATTTCTGGCCAACTCATTTAGCTCTGCTGTACTGTGAGTGTTGTTTCAATTTTTCTTCTGCATGCCATTTTCTACTCGTCTTTATTAGGAAAAGCTGACACTCACCTGAATATGAGAAGTATAACCAGGGCTAAAGAAAGGCTGGCCAGGGATAGAGAGTAACCAACTGTGTACATCACCCTGAAATAGGCCAAGATCGTCATCTGATTCTCCTGTGAAGACAGCGAGAGATAGAATAGTACTATACAGCCATAAGTCATTTTAATTCATGTGACTACTCTGAAAGAAGAACCTTCTCAGACATCTTGTGTGGGACATGAAGGCAAAGAACACCAGAACACCAAGTAATTCATTCTTAGAGACTTTCCGACATTTTTCTAACGTTGCCATACTGACAGCCAATGAAAGCCTCTGGCAAAGAGTAATGACAGCTTTATATTCATGGATCACACTACCGAGTAATAGCCTATAACTCTGGAAAATAACTCTGCAAGCAGGAGATAAAGTCTGCTGTGCCAATAAGAAATGAGTGCAGAGCTCCGCAAATGACACTAGTGTGGCTGCTTACCAAGTGCTTTGGTTCATGAAATAACAGAACTGCATAAAATTCATACAGTCTGTTTCATATTTTACATAAATCCTCCATACATCACAATATAAATCGTTACTTTATTTCTTTGTTTCCTTCAGTAAATAGGAAAAAGGTGAACAACACTGACACATAGGCTACTGCTTTATGCACTCTTACAATCAGCAACAGGTGTGCTACTCTACTAATTGTGGGAGTGGCTTCCTATAAAAAAAAAAAAAAAATTCAATAAAACATACCATAATCAATTTCTTGATTAAGACCTTTAGGATACAATGTATCTAAAGTAAAAATCCAAAAGATCTATGTTTCACATCTATGTCCCCTCCCCAACCTACTGAACAAGTGAACTTGTTCAATGCCAAAATAGAAAAACTCACAAACAGAATTTGCGTACTCTTTGAAATGTTGTGCTACCGGTTTACTAAAGTCCCCGCGTCTTATGGCACTACAATGTTCACATATACGGGTTCTTAATTCTCTTGATGCTTCAACATCATACAATATTCCACATTGACAGTGTATAGCATACATGATGTTACACGGATTACAAGTAATGACATTTTTTATTAATATATTTTTGCCTGTTCTCAGATGTGAAAAATATTTCAGCCTCCTGGTGTATTGACATTGAGTGCAATTTCCACATAGTTTCCCGAAGGAATTACAAAAGGTGGAGGCTTGGAAGGACTTATACATACATCAGCCTTAACTAGATAATTCTTTAGACTCCTTGCTGTAAAAAACGACATGATGCTCAAAGGTGTTGGAAAGATCTGGGTCTGATTGTAAAATGTGCCAATATTTTCGTATAATATTAGAAAATACTGGAGCTTGAGGAAAGTATGTGGTAATGAACTGCACAGAAGAATTCCTTTTAGTATTTTGAGTGTTAACAGGACCAAGTAAATAATCCATTTGAACCCTTTGGTTACCTTCAGTGAAATTATTTTAGTCATTTTGAACAATGGCATGAACTTATGCCTGACAGGGTGCTGAAGAATTCAGATTTTAAGAAATGAGAATTGACTGGAATTGAGCTTGAAGTTTAATAATCTGGTAGGACAGGAAGTTAAACTGGAATTTTAATTTGAACTTGAACAACAGGAAGTGGAATCTACTGAATTGCAACTTGAATTCAACAAAGTCAAACAACTAATTGTATTGGTCTAACATAACATGAATAATTACATAATTAATGTGACTAATTATGCATATTTATTTCCTAATCTGTAGATATGTTTATCAACTGATTAGACATATTTCTGTAAACTAAGCTCTGTCAAAATAATTAACATAGTCAAAAACAAATCTTAATTTTACCATACAGTCTACCAAAAAATGAATAAAATATTGACTTTATTTATCATATCCTTTTTCAAAATGCTAAAAGGAAATGTATACTTTTATACATTTAAGGATGCATTAAATTGATCAAAAGTGACAGTAAAGACATTTATAATACTTCAAAGATTTCTATTTCAAATGCTGTTCTTTAGAACTTTCTATTCATCAAAGAATCCTAAAAAATATATCATTGTTTCCACAAAAATATATAAAGCAGAACAGCTGTTTTCAACATTGATAATAATAAAAAATGTTTCTTGAGCAGCAAATCAGCATATTAGAATCATTTCTCAAGGATCATGTGGTACTGACAGGAATAAATTGCCAT